CCACCACCACAACCACCACCACACACCACCACAACCACCACCGCCACACACCACACCACCACACAGCACCACAACCACCACCGCCACACACTACCACAACCACCACCACCACCACAACCACCACCGCTACACACCACCACAACCACACACCACCACAACCACCACCGCAACCACCACACACCACCGCAACCACCACCGCCACACACCACACCACCACACAGCACCACAACCACCACCGCCACACACCACCACAACCACCACCACCACCACAACCACCACCGCTACACACCACCACAACCACACACCACCACAACCACCACCGCAACCACCACACACCACCGCAACCACCACCGCCACACACCACACCACACACCACACAGCACAGCACAACCACGACGCACGCACGTGGCACCCACCCCTAAGCGCGCCCCACACGTACCACAGGCAGTGGCCAGACCGCCACACGCAGTCAACCGTGCCCACGAGCCGACTCCACCACGGTCCAACTCCAGCAGCAGTGAGCGCGTTGTGATGTTCGCTGTGACGATGGCTGTGATGCTTGTGACGATGGTGGTGATGGTGGTGATGTTGGTGATGTTGGTGGTTGGCATAGCAGGGGGCACAGGTGGTGCATCAGCCAGTCATCTCAGTCATCTCAGTCAGTCGACCCGTGGCACCTGCTGGATCTGCCCCGTGACCTCCTGCCAGCGGGCGTTCGACACTTCACGTGGCCTCAACATGCACCTAGCCTGGCACAAGCTCTGTGGTGACGTCACCGCCACTTAGTGGCGAATGGCGGTTGTTGTTGTTGTTGGTTCTGATGATGGTTGTGATGTTGGTTGTTATGGCTGTTGATGTTGGTTGTTATGGTTGTGATGTTGGTGGTGATGATGGTGGTGATGTTGCTTATTATGGTTGTGATGTTGGTGGTGATGTTTGTTATTTAGTGTTGGTGATGATGGTAGTGATGTTGTTAGTGGTGGTTGTTAGTTGTGATGTTTGTTCTGGTTGTGATGTTAGTGGTGATGTTTGTTTGTGTTGATGATGGTGATGATGTTGGTTATGGTTGCGATGTTGGTGATAATGATGGTGGTGGTGATGTTGGTTGTGTTGTTAGTTATGGTTGTGATGTTGGTGGTGATGTTGGTTGCGATGTTGGTGGTGATGTTTGTGATGGTTGTGATGTTGGTGGTGATGATGGTGGTAGTGGTGATGTTGGTTATGGATGTGATGTTGGTGGTGATGTTGGTGGTGGTGGTGGTGATGTTGGTTGCGATGTTGGTGGTGATGTTGGTGATGTTGGTTATGGATGTGATGTTGGTGGTGATGTTGGTGATGTTGGTGGTGGTGATGTTGGTTGCGATGTTGGTGGTGATGTTGGTGATGTTGGTTATGGATGTGATGTTGGTGGTGATGTTGGTGGTGATGTTGGTGGTGGTGGAGATGTTGGTGGTGGTGGTGATGTTGGTTGCGATGTTGGTGGTGATGTTGGTGATGTTGGTGGTGATGTTGGTGATGTTGGTGGTGATGTTGGTGGTGATGTTGGTTGCGATGTTGGTGGTGATGTTGGTGATGTTGGTTATGGATGTGATGTTGGTCGTGATGTTGGTGGTGATGTTGGTGGTGATGTTGGTGGTGGTGGAGATGTTGGTGGTGGTGGTGATGTTGGTTGCGATGTTGGTGGTGATGTTGGTGATGTTGGTGGTGATGTTGGTGATGTTGGTGGTGATGTTGGTGGTGATGTTGGTGATGTTGGTTATGGATGTGATGTTGGTGGTGATGTTGGTGGTGATGTTGGTGATGTTGGTTATGGATGTGATGTTGGTGGTGATGTTGGTTATGGATGTGATGTTGATGGTGATATTGGTGGTGATGTTGGTGATGGTTGTGATGTTGGTGATGGTTGTGATGTTGGTGGTAATGATGGTGATGGTTGTGATGTTGGTGGTGATGTTGGTGGTGATGCTTGCGATGGTTGTGATGTTGGTTATGGATGTGATGTTGGTGGTGATGTTGGTGGTGATGTTGGTGATGGTTGTGATGTTGGTTATGGATGTGATGTTGGTGGTGATGATGGTGGTGGTTGTGATGTTGGTGGTGATGTTGGTGATGGTTGTGATGTTGATTATGGATGTGATGATGGTGGTGATGGTGGTGGTGATGTTGGTGATGGTTGTGATGTTGGTTATGGATGTGATGTTGGTGGTGATGATGGTGGTGGTTGTGATGTTGGTGGTGATGTTGGTGATGGTTGTGATGTTGATTATGGATGTGATGATGGTGGTGATGGTGGTGGTGATGTTGGTGATGGTTATGGATGTGATGATGGTGGTGATGGTGGTGGTGATGTTGGTTGCGATGTCGGTTGCGACGTTGGTGGTGATGTTTGTGCCTCGGAGACATTTGGCTGTGACTCCAACTCCCCCACCCTCCCCTCGGCGTTGTTTACACAAAGTAAAGAACGATAATAACCACAGCGGCCGCAACCACACACATGCGT